GAATCAACAATAACCGGCAAAAACGAATTACTGTTGGCATGTGTTCGATCATCCAATAAAAGACCAAGAAACACATCTAAGAAATCCAGAGCAGAGATGAATTCTTTCTGAGTTCTTAAAAATTTCAATCAAATTTCTCTTATAATAAATGAAGTACTATGTTAGTCATTATGGTGGTTTTATCTAGCGATTAGAAAAAATGACAAACATAGTGAAGGTTTGAAACAAAAAATTCTTCAGGTATAGTCTACAATAGTGACATTTTGATATGCATTCAAAGTTTGGATGGACTTTATTTAAAGTTCCAAAGTAGATTCAATAATAATTCTATTTTTAAAGATATCTCCCTGGAGATTAATCCTATATGTCGATATTACAGAAACAAAAAACACTATTTTACAAGATGGGTTCACAAATATAAGTCCACAGATGGAGTTGTAGAGTATGTAAATAATACTTTGCATATAATGTTAGGCAACTATATGAACTGCGACACAAAAGTATTTTTTTATCATTTATATCATCATACCTGGTAGAAACAAGCTTTAGAAATCTGCTGCACATCATTAACCGTGGAGATTTCTGAATACAATGCACTTCTTTTAAACCAAAAATAGGTAAATATTCTGGCAGCTCTTTTCACGTTTACAGTCTATTTTGAAACTCTTTTTGAACTTTTGCAGGGTCTAAAATATAAAGACACGTTAATTTAAAAAAAGAATAATAGGGATTTCCGGTATCAACTTTTCTTGAAATAGGTCTGCTGGCCAAAATAGTTTGGAAAAGAATCGGCTAGGAAATAAATCCTCGGAATTAAAATTTCATTTTGTTTTCGATCAAGAAATAAAATTTTTAGATCTAGATCTATTATAGATCTCAACACAACTATAGCGCAGAAGGTGTTATAAAAAATGTTTAAATTAACAAATTATTATTAAACGAACTGAAAAAGGTACAAAATGTGTAGCATTCAAACTGTAAAGAAAATTAATTATAGACTCGACATGAATTCGCAATTCTGGTTTTGAAAACCACGAATGTGGTTTTTGTGACTTATATCAACAACGATTAAGAGCAATATTCAGTGTGATTCGTTTATTTTGTTTTAATAAGGAGATTAAAGATCTAGAAAATACAGTTAAATCTTTGGGATTAATAAGTGCGGTCTCAGCTGGCAAACCAGTTACTATAACACGTTGAAGCCAATAATCTGCTTAGTTCTTTACGAATTAATTTTCGATTAAACGTTAACTATCAAAAAAATGTTATTGACTCCATGGTAAATAGCAATCAACTTTATTTTTGTTTTTCACAGTTCTAAAATACATGATCAAATATTATCAAAACGAATTCAGAGGCTTCCAAATGTATATATTCATCCAAGTACATATGAGAAAGTAAAAGGTTCACATTGATTAGGAACTCTCTTCGAATTATGGTATCGTATTATATCATTATCTCTAAGTTCTCCTCGAATGCAATTGAAATAGCAATTTAGATTTGAATATAATTCAATTTATACTGTCATAGATGGGATAATACAAAAAAGACAGATTCAATATTGGCCGTAGAAGTCATGCCATTGTTCCTTCTAGCAAAAGGAAGTAATTTAGCTGCATTCGAGGAATGAGATCTTCTAATGAATCTAATGTTCATTGCAGAATTTGTGCGTATGCATTCAATGTTGAAAAATGTTTTATAACCTGTTTTATAACATGTTTGTCTTGCTCTATATTTGCATGTGTTATATCTGATCAAACTCTTGTGAACAAAGTTTAAGTCCAAAATTAAAAGGTAGGTACAAGACCAAATACCAAACACGTTCAATCAATTGTGTTCAATTGTGACTAGGAAAAGATATTTAAATGTTTTTGCATAAGGTTATTAATCAGAAAATATCAAATGTCAAATTAATTTTGAGTCACCAATTACAAATACTACCTATGTCTTCAATCTTACAGATAACTTTGTGCCTTTTACTGATATCGGTTTTGTTACCATACCATATACGATTATGGTATTGCAGCACTTTGAAAAAGCACATGATTGCAATCGCTAACCGCGAGAATCGATTGTAGAGGATTTCCTCCTGTGTTATTTATTAAATGAAAAACTGAAATATCCAATTAGTGTATCTTGAATTGATAGATAATCCCTTATATAGCACTGATATATTAAATATTTTTATCAACTCTTTAACACGCTGGTAAAAATTATGGGTTGAACCTGTTTTGATCAATCTGTTTGGCTCTAGGTTTTTCACAGTCGGTTAAACCCAGTTCACTTCGGGAGATTGTCAGTAACATGATCCACAAAACTGTTTTAATATACATATTCTACAGTTTTTGTTTATTTACTTTGATAGTATTAGCATAGCAAAATATATTTGAATAAACAGCTAATAAACACCTGTCAATTATAAAAGATAAATTTTCATTAATTTAAATACGCAAAGTTTATTCCTTTCTCTAGTTTGCCTTTAGCTCGATAGTAGCTTTTCCAGATTTAGAAGATATGTCAGTTATAGATTTAAACATCCTCAAAATCTATCGTGTATCTAAGTATCATCCCCGTGAAACTATGTCTAACAGTAGCGAATGTATTCAATTTGTATTCACCACACCTGCACGAAATCGCTATTGCATCTTTGAAAGAACAAAGATGCAATCATCAATTGAAGGGTTTCTTTCAAAAACGACACATGGACACAAAACATTTATGGACATGTGTCGTTTTTGAAATAAACCCTTCAATTGTTCTTAGCCTACCAAAGTATTTCCGATTAAATGTTTCCGGCAAATATTTGGAATGTATTAGTTTATTTCATCTTCTATTGCACATTTTATCCTTACTTATCAAATGCCATTCTGATACTTAAATGAGATGTGTTAGGTCTTTCTGATCTGATTTATGCCGATCATTGTAAAGCTAAGTATAGTGACTTAAGTATTATTAGCAAACTTGATTTGAAGCTATTGGGAGTCATTGAGACGTGTTGAGGATTATTCAGACACATTGCAAGTTGTTGGGAAGTTATTGAGGAACTTGCGAGCTTTTTAAAGCGAGAGTTAATTGGAGCAACTGGAAGTTAGTAAAACCGGAAGCTATTGAGTGCCATTCACAGCAATTATATACCATTGAGAGTTCTTACTTTGATACTACTTGACTGCAACTCTAATAAACACAAAAATTGTTAATTAGTGAATATTAAAACACCAACTACATAATTCTCTAATGTTACAAATGAACGGCAATTTTGTTAATTTTGCATTCAAAATTTCATGATATTACCAAACAGAAAACGTTTCAGTACGAATTTTAAAATAACAAGAAGTTTCTTGTGCCATGGGACCAGAGCTTCGTTTATTACATAATAACAACCGGCCAATAATTTAACAAGCGTGGAACCGGTTGATTGTACTGCCCGCAAACCGTCGCCACATCAAAGTAATAAACCGTTATTAAAGGTTACAGAACGCTTTTGAATTGTTGAATAAATAGTTTGCTATCTCACATGGCGAAGAGAACCACATCGTTGTGCAATTTAAAACTGTGCTGATGCTCAAGTTTTACTTTTTTTTATAAAACGATTCCGTGGGAGATTTAATCGAGAATGATCTATTGTTGATTTCTATAGAAAAGATCTGGGTTAAAATTGGTTATTTAAAGATGTATTTATAATTATTAGTCCAGTACAGTTATTTAATATTTTGATTATAACCTTGACAAGCATATAAAATTTTCTTACCAATTGACAACTTTCTCTAAACATTAACACATAAAATTCCAAAATATCCATTGCAAAGAAAAACAGAGAAAAAAGCAAACAGTTGATGTAATCTGTATAATTTTTCGCGGAAATAAGCTTATAGTGTAAATAAAACGAACAGTAATCCAAATCGTTACTCATAATTGTCTTGTTTTCTTGGTCACGAACAAGAACTGAAAGTCAACTTTTAAACGATAGTTTTGTTACGGAAATGACAACCTTGGTTGAATAATTTATTTCTTATAAATGCATTGAGTTGGCGGTTTTTGAAAAAAATATTAAAAATAATCAAATGAGTAGCGAGAAGAATAGAAAAGTAAAGTAGGTAAACGATAATATCTTAAGACCGTGGCCTGTTTCTTGGGAGAAATTCTTATTCTTGAACTATATTTTGCAGTGATATGCGATGTTACTTTAAAATAATTACCACTTTAATTCCACGATTTAGTGTCGGATTAAAGCAAGATTATTACGCTTTCTAGAGACTATTTTAGTCGAAATTAAGATTTAGTTCTGTTTACCTAGCTTTACAACATCGTGTAAAATTGGCTTTTTACTTGGAGATCAATAAATATCAATAATAATTTATTTACTCCAAGTTAATGTTGACTTTTTAAATATACAATAAGATGAGCCAATAACATTTTATTATCTAATGATGTAACCTATTGTATCTATTACCCTTATTCGTTTCCATTAGATTTTGGATAATGCTTTTTTTGTTGAACGTCTGCTCATCCTTGGCGGCGATTGAAAAGGAATATGTACTGACTTTCGAACATCACAAGTTATCGTTGCAGCATTCCGTTCTTTTTTTTAGGTAATTCGCACGATTCTCAATTACAGAGAATTGCAAAAACTACAAGTTTTTATGTAGCATAACAATTAGTTTGAATGTAAGAAAAATTAAAATAAGGTCAATCGATTGTTGGTATTGATTTAAAAGAGTGTAAAATTTTTTGAAATATTTGTGCAATTTTATGGTACACATTCTATGATATTAATATTGTTAATCTTCTTTCTATATGATTCCTAAAAGCCATAACAAATTATATTGCGTTTTACGTAAATTAAACAATTTTTAAATTTTTAATTCAAACATTTCATATTTTCAACATTTTGGTGAGTCTTATTGATATTGTGGAGATTTGAGTAGTGATTGATAGATTATTAATTTATATTAAATCGATTTTTCTTAAAAAATTATTAATATTTGTTATATTTAACTTACCGACTTCTAGAACTAGCACCACGACCTGGTGGTGGACCAATAGTTGACGTTGTAGTCTTATTATGTCCGGCGTTCCTTAATTGGGAACTTGTCTTGTTCTGAGCCGCAGCAGCCGCGGCTAGTTGTCCGGCGCTCGTCCTTGGAAGTCGTGGCGAACCCTTCAGGGCACACTGCACCCCTCCAAGGATCACTATGAAGGACACGAACAGGAGGACCGCGCGCGCACACCCCATGTCCACGGGCACTCGCAACACTTTACCTCCTCTTAAAAAAAAATTTTTCTCAAGAAAAACAATTAGGAGCACACGCGTTGGGGTTTACTCCTCTTAGCCACCTGAATTTTGGGGCACCTGTTCTTTTCGATTCTCGACGATTATGGTATTGTCCTGTACCAGTCACTTCTCTTCTGGCAAGAGTCGGTAGGCAGTCTGTCCGCTCTGTACCACTGACCGACAGTCTGAACCGTTTCGACCGGCGACTTTCACTCCGTGTTGTGTTGTGGCGGTGTGGTGTTGTGTATGGTATGGTCGGAGGTGTCTCTGTGGAGCAGGTGGTTCAGGTTGTTTCAGTGGGGCCGCCCATGATTTTTCGGAGACACGAAGACTTGATCAGCTGAACCGAACGAAAGGAGAGATGGTTCGGCAGCGGCTTCCATTCATGGATGATCACGTGCGGATACCCTGCAAAGAAGGATGATGCCGCCCGATGATGAGAAGGATCTCCGAGGCTTGTGCCGGAGGTCGTGTCGATCTAAGAATAAAGTCTTCGCTTCGTTTAACGGTCACATCTTGAGCCGTTACCAAGACGTACATCACGCGATGACCGTATTGTTAATTTCGTTTTCAGCGGTCACTTTCTTTTTTTTCTGTTACTTCGGCTGCTGCTTCAATTTGGGCGGTCCCGTTTGCTCAATGCCGGTTTGTTTGGAAATCGCTTTCAAATTAAACACTTCGAATTTGGTTAAGGCGATATCGTGATAGGTGAAAATTTTTCTACGCAAACATATTTGACCGGTTTGGAAATTGTTTCCGGTGTAAAATGATCCAAAAAATTCCAATACCTATTAATAAAGAAAAATCAATAAATTCGTTGTTGTGGTTGTAGGTGATGATCTATAAAAAATAAATAACTCTTCTGTTGTAATTTTATTTACAACAACAATTTAAGAGGTTAGCTAATGTTATCATAAAATTTTATATATTTCTTTTACGGGTTCTAACGATTTATGTGCAGTTATTTAGGATTTAGACCAGTTTGATACTTAAATAGAACTAAAACCAATCTTAAACTTATAAGTAGTAAATTCCTTAACAGTTACAACATAAAATGATATTTCATATATAGCACAAAAATATAAATGGTGACACAAAATAATAATAATAATAATAATATACGTTTATTTACGTTAAGAAAACAAAAATACAGAAACACAATAGAAAAATCAAAGATAGGCGTAAATAAAGTGCGAAAGAAAAAAAAAATTAACCCCGGCAATATGCCATAAAAAAAAACCGTGTACATGGACAGAGACATAGCAACTGGCGCAAGCCGGAGTAGCCACCAAAACTGCAGAGCCAGTTTGTGTGTNAATTAAACACTTCGAATTTGGTTAAGGCGATATCGTGATAGGTGAAAATTTTTCTACGCAAACATATTTGACCGGTTTGGAAATTGTTTCCGGTGTAAAATGATCCAAAAAATTCCAATACCTATTAATAAAGAAAAATCAATAAATTCGTTGTTGTGGTTGTAGGTGATGATCTATAAAAAATAAATAACTCTTCTGTTGTAATTTTATTTCGATCTAGAGGTTAGCTAATGTTATCATAAAATTTTATATATTTCTTTTACGGGTTCTAACGATTTATGTGCTGTTATTTAGGATTTCGACCAGTTTGATACTTAAATAGAACTAAAACCAATCTTAAACTTATAAATAGTAAATTCCTTAACAGTTACAACATAAAATGATATTTCATACATAGCACAAAAATATATGTATATGGTGACACAAAATAAACATGTTTATTTTATATTGGATAATCCCTGAATAATATATTTCAGTAAACAAATTAGAAATTTGTTTTAAAAAGCACATATCTTTTTACGGTTAGACTTTGCAGTGTTACTCCAGATTTCGTTCTCACACATTAGTGTAGTACATTTTATAGCCTTGATTTAGGTGCAGGTTACATGAAATTTCGATGTCAGTTTTCTGACTTTTGTTGGATTACTTCTAAGTTACACAGCTATAACCATCTATTAATCTTATTCGCATTTATTTTCCATATTTCTATGGTTGCAGTCAAGCATTTTTTGCAAAATCAACTGTATTTCATCATTTCATACGAGTATATATTACTGAGAATTAGGAATAGGACACTGCCCTGTGCAACATCTGCTCTAATTGGTGATTTACAGGAAATGTGGCCGTAAATTTTTATAGAGAAGGTTCTATTTCTCAGGTATTACTTGAGATGCTCTAAAATAGCACTCTAGTTAAAGATCGCCATTTCTGCCATGCAGAAATTTCTATCCTCCTCGTCGGCTTTCACCAGATCTGAGATACATAAATTATGCGACTCGCGAGGTTGGTGTTGTATTAGTATAATAGATGGCAGCCTTACTGGCTTAGTCTTGATCAAAACTGCATTCCGAGTTTTTGATATGCTCACCTTGAGTCCCGCACTTTTTAAAGTATTGATCCATAGGGAGAGTGTGGTCTCTAGCTCGATTGGAGTTTTGGCGATAAAGACGTTATCATCCGTATACAGTAGATTCCAGGATAGTGGTTCTAAGATGTTTTTCGTAATTATCTCTATCACAAGACTAAACAGTAGGGGGTTAAAAACGTAGCCTTGATAAACACACACTTCACTTCGAATTCTTGGCTGAGACCTGAGACCGAACTCTGGTACGAACATATCTTGTGATACATATCTTGTATTACCCGCGACCTTTAATACGAATATATCGAAGAAGCTTGTGGGAGAGGTTTGACATGGAGAGGCGGCCTTTAGGAACTATGACGACCTCGAGACGATCTTGTTTTTTAGTCCATCTAACCATATTCAACTTAATGTTTGTTTAGTTCATCGTGTAAACTGATTTGTATCATCTTTTCTAAAAGTTTTGAAAAGGTTTTCGTATTTTTAGAAAGTATTCGATCTTTAAGCATACAGTGACAGGCTCGCTAATATGGAAAAATAGTTACGCGGGACATTGATTAGTATAGTTTAAGATTTTAATATTTCGTGGATATTTTTGGAAAAGGGTGGTTTCGTAAGAATCTCACTAGTTGGTAAGTTTTACTGTACAGGGTGTCCAAATTTCGATGGGTTTGCAGGGTATCTCAGTTATTATGAAAGATAGAAAGTTGCGGCTTTCGCGAACCTGAGTTACTTTTTTGTGAAACTTACAATGGCGGAAACCAAATTTTCATAGCCCTCTTCGTTTTTGATATACAGGGAGTGTTTCAAAATTTACGATTTTCAAACACCTCCTGTATCTCACCTATCCGGAAACGTAAAAACGGGTTCTAATAGATTTTTTCACGTAGAATCCAATGGTGCACGTAGAATTTTTCTAGTCATCACGGTTTTTGAGTTATAAAGAGTTAAGTAGTTTAGAAGTTGAGTATTCAGTATTTGAGTTGTGTTTATAACTCAAAGACCGTGATGACTAGAAAAATTCTACGTGCACCATTGGATTCCACGTGAAAAAATCTATTAGAACCCGTTTTTACTTTTTTACTAAGTTTCCGGATAGCCGAGATACAGGAGGTGTCTGAAAATCGTAAATGTCAAACACTCCCTGTATATCAAAAACGAAGATGGCTATGAAAATTTGGTTTACGCCATTGTAAGTTTCACAAAAAAGTAGCTCAGGTTCGCGAAAGTCACAACTTTCTATCTTTCATAATAACTGAGATACCCTGCAAACCCATCGAAATTTGGACACCCTGTACATTATGTTCTTTTCAGTAAGACCATAATCTACTATAGTTTGTATTTAAAAAAATACAAGTTTGTGTTGTAGCTCAAAAATCATCAAATATTTTTAAAATGTTTCAACGACAGTATATTCTACTTAAAAAAGTGTCTTAAGAACGCATCAACCCCATTTCTCTAATTTCAAAAATAAACGAAATATGAGCATTTTTTGAAATCACGAAAATTTGACTTTTTGGCTATAACTTAAAAACAAAAGAAGATAGAGGTTTGATGTTTACGGGATTGGACTAGTCTCGAAAAAAGAGACCGGAACATGGTACCTACTTTTTTCGTATCTCTTATAGTTTCTGAGATAGCCTATAATAACACCCAAATTTGCCCATCCTGTACATATTGCCTTGCCTGTTGGGAATGACGTGGTGGTTATATGTTCCACGAAATTTGTTGCCTTTTCGTCGTGAGTGTAACAAACTTTTCAATTTTCCATAATAGTTGCAATTTCATTGGACATTTGTAGTAATCTGATATGCTTCTAGTAGATAGGTTTCCAGTTTTCTTTGCAATCTATGAGACAATTTATTGCATAAAGCTTTAGTTATTTAACAATTCCTGAGGCTTTTCCATTCCCGACGAGCACTATGCTTTTGCTTAATCAAGCCATAACTTCGCTTTTAGTAGTAGTTTAGAGTATATGATCTTCGCTGGAACCTGGGTTAATTATTGATTGCTTCTTCTGCTCTTTTAGCAACTGCTTGTGTGATTTCTGCAACTCTTGCCTCAATTTGTACATTAGAACTTAGTGGGCGATCATTTTCACACAATTTTCTTCGAATTGTTCCTAGTTTATTTTGCTGTAAGATAATTTTTTCTTGGCATTAATAGGGGTGTTGTACCGTATTTAACTACCACCGAGAGGGGATCTGAGTCATGTTCAGTTAAAAAAACTCTTCTGGATGTGTTTATTGAAGTACATGCTTAGTTGGATGTCTTAGATATCTGGTTGGTACTTCGTCTTTCCGTGTCCGAGTCCAACTCCCCTTGTATATTTTCTAGATTAATTTCTTATCTCTCATCTTTGAAGAATTCTGCAATATAGATCGCAAAGCATATTGAGTTCTTTACGGTTGTCGGTACCTGGCTCTTTGACGTTTTTGTATATGTTGAAGTCAATTTCCTCACATTTTTGTTTGTAACATTCTTCCTTCGCTCCTGATGTTCGTGCGGAATACTCGTTGTGTTCTGTTATTGCTGATAATTCTTTCCTTTGCAGTTTTTTATCTTCTACATGAGAGTAAGAATTCCGTTAATTATCCAATCTTGCATTCCTTTGGGCCTTTCTTTCTTTAGAACGGCCATATAAACTCTATATAAAACTAAATCAATACTTTAGTAGACATTAATGAAAGTTTTAAACAAATTCAACGTCTCTAATTTACGTAATCATAATTTTTTACACATAATAGAATCATTCAAACGTGAATTAAGCTATTTACATAAATTTGTGAATTAAATTCAGCAGAAAATTTGCATATAAGCTAATCATTTTTAGACTTATTGAAATTCTTAACACTTTTTGTTCAATAATTTAGTAACTATTTTTTCAGACTAATTAAGAATTTATAGATTCCAAAATAACGTTCAGAAGTATTTAAATATATGCAAATATCTTTGTTAAATCGAGTGGCCATAATACAATAATTAATCTTTAATTGTTTTTTATTATAATTGAAATAAGAATTGAATTGTGATACGATAACGAATATTGTTGGTACGAAATGTATGGGTTATGATGTAATGTGAGAGTGCCTACTCATACCGAATGAGAAAGAGTTAGTCTGGGCCTAGACTGGGCCTCTGGTCTAGTTCGGAATTCATTAATTATATGGCGTGAAAAAATGCTTTAATAATATATCTTGTTAAGTTGCACGGTTCGGCGAGAGGCGTTCGCTGTCTGTTCGCAAGGTAAATCGGTCTCGATTTTACACGCCGTTGCTCGCCTTGTTTCGATATATATCATCGAAAAGGTCGTTAAAATTCAATAGGAAAGGGGAATTGCATTTGCACTGGGTACGTTTTGTTGCGTGAATTGACAGCATGCGATATTAGAAATTTCTTTGCCCGTTTTCATTTATACGGAACGTGATCGTAATATATCAACCATACAAACGTAACCGTACGGTTAAATATCATATCACGGTGATTTATTTTATTAACATAAAATTTTATCTAATATCAATCTAAATTATCATTTAAATGATTTATTTTACTTATTTTTAATAAGTAAAGTGAAAAAAGAAAAGTGCCTTTATAAATAAAGTCGTTAAGATTACTTGTTAATCAAAGTGGTAACAAAGTACTAGATTATACTAACCTTGTGATTGAAAGCTAATGTAATAATGCCATCAGACGAGAA